ATCTTTCGTTTGGCCTCAAATGTTATATAAATCATTAATTACACATTAATTTATTCACATGCCAAGTCTAGAACATCGGATGATTTTTATTTTCCATGGATTTAAACAAATTTGCCAGATAATAATTTAATTTTTAAAAAAAAAAAAAATTCGATAATTGAGACCATGTTAACAATCTTAGTAATCGAGACTACATTTATGTTCGAACGGCCATTATTTCGCCCAGAACCAATTAATTTGAATGTAATTTACAACATATTCCCATTTCATTGTCTATGTTCCAACTATTAAAGCGAGAACTGTCAGCTCTTTTTCTAAATCTTACATAATGCGTCTTTAATAGCAATATTTAAATGAACTAAATCCCATGAGAAAAATGAAGATTCATCCCACGTTTCCCCCGCATTATGCTACACTATTTGTAAGCGCGCGTTGTTTGACGTTTTACGAAAACACTGTTAAAACCACACTCTCGGTGCCCTTGACGTTCAATTTACTGAGACTCCAACTACACTCAGATGTACATTAATTAATGATGTTTAACTTCGCTTCCACCGAAGGTGATATCCCAGACAAGCTGTCATATTTTAGTATATTCAGCGCATGCGCATGAGTTTGTCCTGTTACAAAAGGTGCACATACCCCACACCTGGGCTTGACACCCCTACCCCCGTCCCACCACCGGGCAAGATAAACAAAAGCGTCGAAGTTTTTATAAGTTCACCCCGCACCCTTTTATTAATCTTTAAAACTTTTGAAGCGTTTACACACCAACACTGTTGATAGGTTTTTCCAGATCATTTGGAAGTAAGAACTTTGTAATGACATTATTCCGCCGCACTACGTTTCTCCCGGGGGGACAATAACGATGAATGTACACACGACATAGTGGGCTATAGGTACTGACATGAGGGACAATAAAGCTGGCCGTACATACGACATGCAGTAGACTATAAGTAAAATTGTGTCTGGACAATTACTTTCAATTCCAACTGTCAAGGGTACTTTTACGAGCACGCCTACGTGTACGTGTAATTAATCCCTGTCCCTTGTCAGGCCCCACGCCAAGAGAAAATGATCATAAGACGTTGTAACATCGTGTCCATTCAACTTTCTGTCTTTGGGTGGTATCTTTAAACACAAATTAATTAATTCAAATATATGTGCATGTACTCTTTAATTTATTATCATAACCAAGTCTGAAATGTGTCTAATCATATATACCTTTATTTCCCGTCATTAAGGTATTTTATTATCCGAAATAAAACAGTAATATGGCCGCTTCGGTAAGTTTCCGTAACTGTTTTTTTTATAATTTGTTTGGTCACGATTCATTGTCGCTGTGGTGGAGTTGTTCTCAAATCTCTTACAGCCAGAACATACCGGGTTTCATTGTCGCTGTGGTGGAGTGGTTCTCAAATCTCTTACAGCCAGTACATACCGGGTTTCGTTGTCGCTGTGGTAGTGTGACACTAGTGTGTCGCTGTGGTGGCGTGGTTCTAGAATCTCTCACAACCAGAATTTCCCGGGTTTCATTGTTGCTGTGGTTGTGCAGTTCTAGAATCTCTCACAACCAGAATGCCCCGGGTTTCATTGTCGCTGTGGTGGCATGGTTCTAGAATCTCATACAGCCAGAATTTCTCGGGTTTCATTGTTGCTGTGGTTGTGCAGTTCTAGAATCTCTCACAACCAGAATGCCACGGTTTTCATTGTCGCTGTGGTGGCGTGGTTCTAGAATCTCACACAGCCAGAATGTACCGGGTGTCATTGTCGCTGTGGTTGCGTGGTTCAAAGAAACTCTCACAACAAGAGTATTACGGTTTTCCTTGCCGCTGTGGTGGTGTGGTTTTAGCGGCTCCCACAACTAAAATGTCTCGGGTTTCATTGTCGCTGTGGTGGGGTGGTTCTAGCGGCTCCCACAACTAGAATGTCTCGGGTTTCATTGTCGCTGTGGTGGGGTGGTTCTAGCGGCTCCCACAACTAGAATGTCTCGGGTTTCATTGTCGCTGTGGTGGTGTAGTTCTAGCGGCTCTCACAACTAGAATGTCCCGGGTTTCCTTGCCGAAGTTGTGATACATTAGATACGATAATAAACAAGTTATGCCACATCTTGTCAAAACTTCAAACAGTGATAATTTTGCTTTCGATATATTGATTTTGAATTATCAATTTTTTAACTATTATTTCAAGAACGGCCATTTTTTTATTTAAATTTTACATAATGCATTAATTGAAGAGGATTACATTTGTGTTTTAGAAGCGAGCTCAGTGGGGACGACAGTTGGAATTTCTATTTACATTGATTGGTTACGCCGTCGGATTAGGCAGTGTGTGGAGGTTTCCCTTTCTATGTTTCCGTAATGGCGGAGGTAAGGGTTACATAAAGTCGTTGACCGTAATTTGCATATATCTGAGCAATATCTAACTTTTCACGGCTTAGTTCAGGATAAAATATATCGACATTGATTAGATAACTATTAATTGAACAAATAAAATTTAAATATCAAAGAAAGATAATCCCGGTTTGGATTCAGGCAGATAAAAAACGAAACACATCAAGGTTCTCTCTTTGTTTCTGGCTCCCTATTTTTATGTTTCTTTCAGGGGCGTTTCTGGTGCCCTATTTTATATGTTTGCTTCAGGAACACTTCTGGTTCCCTATTTTATAAGTTTGTTCCAGGAGCGTTTCTGGTTCCCAATTTTATATGTTTGATCCAGGAACGTTCAGGTTCTCTATTTTATATGTTTGCTTAAGAACATTTCTAGTTCCCTATCCTATATTTGTGTTCCAGGAGCGTTCCTGGTTCCCTACTTTATATGTTTGTTTCTACTGGGTATTCCGATATTCTGTTTGGAGATAGCCTTCGGGCAGTATGGAGGAAAGGGGCCGATTACAATATGGGATAACGCTAATCCGGCGTTTAAAGGTAAGATGTTACCTTCTGGCATTTGCTCGCACTATTCTATAAACTTGGGAAGAAAGTCTACAGGAAATGGGATTTGTGCTCTTCCGATTATGTCAGAAAAAATAACTACTGAGAGATTGGGCTCGACTAAAATATGGAATAATGCCCAGACTAAGAATTATCCCAACTTCAATAGAATGGGGATTTTAAAACAACTCTACAATCTAGGTAACATATATACTCACTGTCACATTCAAAACAAATGTTTTGATTGGTTGCTATTTCATGCAGTGGCATCAGTCAACCAGTACTATTTCGTGAAGTGACATCAGTCAACCAGTAGTATTTCATGCAGTGGCATCAGTCAACCTGTAGTATTTCGTGAAGTGACATCAGTCAACCAGCTCTAAGGCAGTATAAGACCTCCATCAGAGGGTGCCAACTAAAACACACGTCATTGTGTCTGTCATCATTAGCAATCGATATAGCCGTATAGCTAAGCACTAGCCACATGCATGATAAAGGTATGCTTACTGTTTCCAAATTCTACCTGAGGTTCACCTGCATATCAATTATTAGGCTATATTTTATATTTTTAATCTAGGAATTGGTATTGCCCTGATTTTGAGTACCTTGATATTGTCAGTATATTACAACGTGGTGATAGCCTGGGCTCTGTATTACCTCTTTGCCTCCCTCACTAACAAACTACCATGGGAAGATTGTAATAGCTGCGCATGTCAACTATACGACCTCGATTCGAATGCCACGAACTTTCTAAACCAGACCCTGAACAACAGTTCCAAACTAAATTGCTGTAAGTTTATTATTATGATTAGTAACTTTTAGGGTCTTCCGTTTCTGTCAAATAGGGGGTCGCGGTGGCTCAGTGAGTAAGACGTTCGCTCGCTAACCCGATGGCCGCATTTATATTTGTGCTCATTTCGTTTTTTTTTATGTTTCCTGATTGTGATAACTCTTTGTAGGTGCGACCAACGTTCATAGTTTTATGTCGGTTTGTCCTGTCTTTTCACGGTGGTTAAGTGGGTAAGACGCTGGCTCGCTAACCTGGAGGACGCGGGTTCGCCCCCGGTTTTGGCGGAGAAAGTTTATCGAGATTTTACGGCGTGGTTTCCCTTGTCAGTCGTGCTGGACGGAGGGCCTGATAAGGATAGCTGTGTAATCGTTCGGATAGGACGAAAAACCGTGGTCCCGTGTACACATTGGAGTGCACGTAAAAGATCCCTTGACAGTTGGAATTCGATATAAGAGTAGGCCGTAGCGCCACTGTCCTGGCAAAATTTCTCTCATAACACACTGTATGGCGTATGCCCGTCTTCATTAGCCCAATCGGAGCAGAACAGTAGGACGTTAAACCCCATTTCATTTCATTTTCTCTTCAGCATCATTTACGGGAGATGTTCGATCATCCAGTGAAATATACTACAGGTATGACTTAACCCTACAACTAGATAATTTAGATCATCCAGTGGAATATACTACAGGTAATGTAGATTAACCCCCACCGTCAAATAACTAACTTAGATCATCCAGTGAAATATACTTCAGGTAATGTAAACTAACCCTGTCGTTAAATAATTAATTTAGATCATCCAGTGGAATATACTACGGGTAATGTAGATTAACCCACCATTGAATAATACTTTAGATCATCCAGTATTTTAATTAAGAAATTCAAGAATTGAAGTTAGACGATAGAACGACATTGACCATATCAATTTAATCTAATAATGCTTGAGTCTTGTGGGCATACAAACTCTAGCACGCCAGTGTTGCCCAAGCAATGCAAATCTAATATAGTTGTTTGCTGTAATATTTCTGCGTGTAGGCGCGGCTGAGGATATTGGCCCTGATTGGAAACAAAATGGACACACATATACTAATAACTTAATGTGCTACTTTCGCTTTCACCTCGCCATGTCACGTATTATTCCTCGCATTGTGGGTCAAAAGAAAGCAATTTCCGTTAAACACACTGTATGGCGTATGTCCGTCTTCATTACTCCGATCCGAGGAGAACAATAGGAAGTTAAATCCCATTTAATTCCATTTCATTTCATTTATTTTATCTAGAGACGTGGTTTTATCGCAGTCGAAGGAACTTGGAGATTGGGGAAGATTAAAATGGGATCTGAGTTTGTGTAACCTGCTCGGCTGGTTACTGGTGTTTATAGTTTTAAACAGAGGTATCAAGTCTCTGGGAAAGGTGGGGCATCATCATCGTGGACATCATCATCATCATTATCATCGTGATCGACATCTGATTCGCTCCTTGACTTGCATTGTATTCCCGGTGATGTTCTTATATTGTTTGCTACAGACCGTTCGTATTCAAATAATCTCATCATCATCAACATCATCATCGCCATCATCATCGTCATCATCGTCATCAACATCATCATTAACACCATCATCATCATCATCATCATCGTCATCATCACGCCATCTGCGGTAAGCGTTAAAGAAAAAGATATTGCTTTTCTATTCTCAATGATTAAGGTAATTGGATATATTTGCCAGATATCCTGTAATTCTAAATAACTTCCAGGGGGGTTGGGTGGCCCAATGGTTAGCACGTTCGCGCTGTATCAGAAGGCCTGTCATTGAGTTAACTAGCGTGGTTTCGAATCCCCGGTCGCATGTCCAACCTCGTGGGTTTTCTCCGGGTCCTCCGGTTTCCTCCCACTGCTAAAGACCCCTACGCTCTAGCGAGGTATTGAAATAAAATTAAACCATATGTTAATCCCGAAATGACCTAGTTTGTGTCGAGTGGACGTTAAACCCAATTTCTCTCTCTCTCTCTAACTAACTTCCAAACAACCCAGTGCTTCTTGGCGCACACCTGTATATAACTGGTCTATTTTTGTGTTAAAATGTACACACAAGGGCATAATCGTGCACATTAAAGAGCCCCTGGCAGTTGGAATTCGATATAGCAGTAGGTCATAGTGCCGCTACCCGCACAAACTTTCCCTCATAGCACACTATATGGCGTATGCCCATCTTCATTAGCACAGTCGAAGCAGAACAGTAGGATGTTAAACCCCTAGTCATTTCATTCATACAGTTAGCCCGGTGGACGGATGCTACAGAAAAGTAGGACGATCAACCCATGTTATTTAAATTTTGATAATTGTTTTTTTAGGTTGTATATGTAATGTCGACGTTACCCTACATTTTACTGACCATACTGTTGATCCGTGGTGTTATGTTGGACGGTGCTCTTGAAGGAATCAAGTTTTATCTTACTCCAGATGTGTCCAGATTAACAGATGCTAAGGTATAAGCAATAAATCAAAAAAATAAAGTTGCTATGGTTATAGGCCGAATCTGACACCGGGAGTTTGAAAGAAACAGCACCAGGGTTAATTGAACCTTCTTGATAAAAAGCATGACCTGTTTATCCAACCTCGTTGGTTTTCTCCGAGTCCTCCGATTCCCTCCCACTGCTAAAGACCCCGACGCCTGAGTCAATTATTGAAATAAAATTCAATCATATGTTAGTCAATGGAAGTTAGACCCCATTTCTATCTCTCTCTCTCATAGTTGAAAATTGTGCCCGGACAGCGGCGCTATGGCCTACTATTGTATCGAATTCCAACTGCCAGGAGATCTTTTACGTGGACGCTCATGTGTACACGGGCCCTCGATTTCCAACTAAATTAATATGGCCTACCTGTACCTTCGCAGGCCATCTTTCCTGCAGCACTGACGATGGGGGGGGGGGGGGTGCACGCCAGAAAATTGAACGATCTCGGCCAATGCAACGTCAAACTTATTTTTTTAAAATAAGTTGATTTATAACATCCGCTTTCGGTAGTTATGCAGAATACTCTAAAATCTCGTTAGCAACAGCTCCTATTCAATGTGTCAGAAATAGCTCGAATCTCGTTAGCTAGGCAAGTGTCAGAAATACCCAAATTTTTTTTTTTTTGTGAATTTTTTTTTTGTGAATTTTTTGTTAATTTCTTAGAATAATTTCTTAGAATAATTAGAATAATTTTGTGAATAATTAGAGTAATTTTATGTATGATTTTGTGACTAATTCTATTTTTTGTGAGTAATTCTATTTTTTTGTGACTAATTCTATTTTTTTGTGACAAATTATATTTTTGTGACTATTTATATTTTTGATGATTTTTTGTAATAATTGTATTTTTTGTGAATAATTTAGTTTTCTTTTTGTATTTTCTAGGTTTGGGGTGATGCAGCTGTTCAGATACTATACACCCTGGGAATATCATCTGGTAGTTTGATTGCTATGTCCAGCTACAATAAGTTCTCAAATAACGTCATTAGGTATGTTTATAAGTTCTCTAATAACGTCATTAGGTATGTTTATAAGTTCTCTAATAACGTCATTAGGTATGTATACCAACGCCGAATGGTTTAAAGCTTGCGCATTTGATCACGTGGTTTTCATTAAGTCAAGTGACGTGGTTTCGTTTCTCCGCTTGTACGTTACAAGGAGTAGGGTCGAGCCTCGTGGGTTTTCGCTAGGTTCTCGAGTTTCCCCCACAGTTAAAGCAGAAGGCTACTGGGTAAAAGATAACCCTGGGGTCTAAGGTCATCAGCTATGTGCACTTGGCAAACACACGAAAATTTGGTAACAGGTTTTCCAGAAAGAGTCTAAAAAAATTATGATCACGAAGATTTGATAAAAGGTGTTCTACACACCGCTTCAAAATTCTAACCATCCAAAAAGACACACAGATTTGGGAATTGGTGTCTCAGAAACAATTTTAAATATCAAGAATTTCAAAGGTTTTTCAGGAACAGTTTCAGAATTGCAATGATCCGAAGGTGTTTCAGAAACAATTTCAAATTTCAAGGATTCCAAAGATACAAAAACTGAGAATATTTTTTTTAGAAACAGTTCCAGAATACCAATGATCCCAAACAAACCAACATATTAAAATCGGAATTTAAATTGTTTATTATTTGTATTTTATGAACTAAATTTGTTTTTCATTTATAGAGATGCCATTCTGGTACCGATTATAAATTGTGCGACAAGTTTCTATGCTGGATTTGTGGTCTTCTCGGTACTAGGCTATATGTCTCACGTGCAGGGAATACCAATAGCTAACGTAACAGAAGGAGGTAATAACTAATTAAACAAACATTATGCAAGAGCTAAATCTGTCTATTGCAGGTCTTTCTTTAGGCCTGAAATGTTATCTAAATTATTAATTAGACATTAATTAACTTATCCAGACCATAATCAACTTTCGATGGCATCGCTAGCCTGTGATGTTTATTGGATTACGTTCCGATTTGCTGTTCGACTTCCATTTATAATTAAATAAAAAATTGGATAATCGAGATTATTTTTTTTTACCCTACCGACTTTAGTAATGATGATCGAGGTTAGCCCCAATATTCAATCGCTAAAATCTCGGTTCATAGTGGATCAATTTGACTGAAATTTTCAGCAAATTGCCTTAACATTATCTAGTTTTTAACTATTATAGTGAGAACCGCCAACTCTTTATCTAATCTCCCATATTGTATCTTTAATTAATTTGTCAATAAATAAACAGAATGCAAAAAATGTTGCTTAAAACGGATGCATGTTATGTATATACACCTGTGCGAAACAAGCCTCTTTTTTGGCACCTATTGTAAGTTACCATGGAAACACCTGTCTGCGATATCACCCTAGGCGACTGTAGATAATCAGTTACCCCCCTTTAGTGGTATGACCTATTGATCGCCTATTTATTATACATGTGTTAATTGGGCGTTTACTGCGAGACAAAGTGCTTTACTATGCTTAATATAGGGAACCAGGTTGGCCCAGTGAGTAAGACGTTTGCTGGCTACTCTGGAGGTCCCGTGTTTGATACCGGTGTTGATCGAGAAAGTCCGTCGGGATTTTCCAGCCTGGTTCCCCCTTGTCAGTGGTGCAGCTCGGAGGGCCTGGCAAGGGACAGTGTATAGTCGTTCAGGTCCCGTGTACACATTGGTGTGCACGTACAAGAACCCTTGGCAGTTGGAATTCGATATAACAGTAGGCCACAGCGCCGCTGTCTGAGCAACATTTCCCTCATACCGCACTTTATAGCATATGACCGTCTTCATTAGCCCAGTTGGAACATAACAGTAGGACGTTAAACCACATTTCATTTCATTTGTCTTCCTATAGGTCCGGGTTTAGCTTTCATTGTCTATCCTGAAGCAGTGAGTAAAATGCCGATATCACCATTATGGGCGATTCTCTTCTTTCTTATGTTGTGTATGCTGGGATTCAGCAGTCAGGTAACGTCTATTTCTACATCGTCGTAAACCAAGAAAAAAAACCCAACTTATCTAAGGATTTTATTAATCATAATTCGTCGTTACGATTCATGCATGTTCATCATAATGCTTGAATTGTGGGATTTATTTCGGGAATTCCCCTTTGGCCATTGCTGTATCCAGACCGAAAACTTGAGTTTTTGACGTAGTATGTCTATTTTTCGCGTTCAATAAAATCTCTCCTAAGTGTAGCAACATGACAGCCTTCTCTTTGGTCTGGCGTCGTCCTAAAACTTCGGACAGTGATTTAAGGTATTAAAAACGGTGAATATGTTGTTCGTCTCCACGTGTTTGTTCATATTGGTCATTACCCATTGTTTACATTGTACGCGTTTTCGATAGCCTCGTTTGTCACACATTTAGTTTTTCTGCAATATTCTGCTTTGCACTGGTTAGTGGAGCATCATACATGTTGTGAGTAATGACACAAACATATGTGGAGCTCTGTTTAAACCCGAAGGTTTTGTTACGCTATAATGCATTGGTTGTTGATCCGACTGTTGACCAGTCATATTTTGGAACAGAAATTTTCGGTTATTAGAGCCGTGTCTGAGTTTGATAGGTCTAATCAACCGAAAGACTGCGAGGAGTATGGTATGTCCGAGACTATGATAGATATATTTACGACAATATCTATATTTATTTATTTTCAGTTCTCTATTGCTGAAACAGCAATGACTGGATTAATAGATGAATTCCCTCATCAGTTATCCACTGGCAGACGTAGAATTATTTTCCGGGCTCTGATTTGTATCGCGGGTTTTTTATTAGGTTTGCCCATGTTGACACAGGTAAGGGTATTTGTAACGAAATAAAATGAAATGGGGTTTAACGTCCTACTATTCTGCTCGGACTGGGCTAACGACGGCGGACATACGCCATACAGTGTGCTATGAGGTACATTTAGCCCCGACAGCGGCGCTACGGGCTACTCTTTTATCGAATTCCAACTGCCAAAGGTTCGTTTACATGCACATTAATGTGTACAAGGGCGTCGGTCTTTCATTGCCAAGCCCCCCCCCCCTCCACCGCCCAGCAGCACTGACAAGAGGGAACCACACCTAGATAATCCCAATGAACTTTCTCTGCCAACACCGGAATTGAACGTTTTACGTCCAGGTTAGCGAGCAAACATCTTGCTCAGTAAGTTAAGATATCATCTTTTGTTTCAATATTTATGGTTAAACGCCTTCATTAGCCCAGTCGAATTCCCGGCTGTACGTGACAAGGATTAGGGTCGCCTGTCCAACCTCGTGGGTTTTCTCCGGGTCCTCCGGTTTCCTCCCACTGCTAAAGACCCTTACGCGCAAGCGAATCATTGAAATAAAATTAAACAATATGTTAGTCCCGAAATGACCTAGTTTGTGTCGAGTGGACGTTAAACTCCATTTCTCTATCTCTCATTAGCCCAGTCGGGGCGGAAAAATAGGAGATTAAGCCTCATTTCATTACATTTTAGTTCCAATTTAAAAAATATGGGATTGCAAGTTAACAATAACGTCTTCACAATAAACATTTGACATTGCTAGCTAAATATCTCGTCTTTTGTTCAAACATTTGGGATTGAAAGCTAAAAATATTGTCTTTTGCTCAAACATTTGGGATTGCAAGTTAAAAATAACTTTAGAATAATGTCTTTAGCTCATACATGTCCGACTGCCAGCTAAAATATCGCCTTGAGCTCAAATATTTGAGATTACCAGCCCAAAACTGGCTGAAACGTTTGCGTTTGCATGTTAAAACGTCTCAGATTCCGATCAGATATCCGGAGCTGGAAATTAAAAATAAAATATTTTCTCTATCCTATAATTTGTTAGTTTAGAAGTAGCACCAGGTTGTAAAGACCCGTTATAATATAGCATGTTTTAACTCCATGCAATAGCTAGACATGGTTGTTGGTTTTTTTATTACGTCACTAGACGTTGCTGGTTTTTATAAATTTTTAACCCCGTGCAATGACTGGACGTTGATGTTTAACTCCGTGAAATGGCTGGACGTTGTTGGTTTTTATACATTTATAAATTTATTAAAATATCGCTAATTTAACTTATTTTACACCTTCAGGGCGGCACCCATTTGTTAAACCTGGTGGACTCATACATTCTGGGCTACCCCACCTTGATCCTAGCTTTACTAGAGCTTGTCGTTATCTGTTGGGTGTATGGTAAGTTTCATAACATACTATATTATCCCAATTGGAATTAAGCTTATCTGGACCCCACCCTGGATTTAGGTTACTAAAGCTTGTCGTTATATGTTGGTGAGTTTATTGTATTACATATCTGGTTACACCACTGGAATTTAACTGTACTACGGTGATTTTATTTCATTACATTCTGGGTTACCCTACCCTGAATTTAGGTTACTAGAGCTTGTCGTTATTATATATGTCGGGTGTATGGTAAGTTTATTTAATTACATTCTGGGTTACCCCACCCTTATCGTTTTCTGTTGGGTGTATGTCCAGATAATTTCCATTACAATCTTGATTATCCCACCCTGATTTTAAATTTGCAAAAGCTTGTCGTTATCTGCTGGGTGTATGGTGAGCTTGTTTTATTACGTCTGAGTTACTTTGTCGACAAATCTCCATACAATTCAATTTTTGTTTTTTAAAAATTAAGCGCACGTCTTTACTAATACTTAACACTTGACTTACTGTGTCAATAACATCCTCGGTATCCCCAATGGTTTCGTTCCGTTCTTCTCCCCTAACCCGTGGGTCACATTCCCATTTGACACATAGTCAAATTATCCGCCCCTGATAATTGTGATATTTGTATCGATCAATCACAAAATTAATTAAATAGAAAGAAAGTGGTCTAAGGGAAGTGAACGGTTTTTTTTGCAACTGAGATCGCCGAATCGTTGTTGTAAGCTTTGTCAAAATATTTAGGACATTTCTTGTGTGCATATCACTTCTTTTATATTAAAATCTCTTGCAAACTGTTTATCATAATTGAACGTGCAAGCTGCTGTATTTTGGTGAACGTAAACCATGATGCCAAAGCTGGTATGTAAACTGGACGGACCCAGGGGTTAGGGGAGAAGAACGGAATGGTGCCACTGTGGATAACAAGGATGTGTCAATACACGATCATACATTCGATCATATCTGAACATTGGCTTCATCTGTGGACGTAGGATTTTGAACGAAGACAGATACCAATGGCCCAACATGAATCAGCATGTATAACATCCAGTGAAATCGACACTTATGGTTGGGTGTTTTATCGCTAGTCGTTCGGAAAGGACGGAAAACCGAGATCCCGTGTACACATTGGTGTGCATGGAATACGATATAAGAGTAGGCCATAGCGCCGCTGTCCGGTCAAAATTTCCCACATAGAACACTACATGTCGTATACCCGTCCTCATTAGCTCATCTACACTTTAACTGCCGTCTCATTATATCGGAGGGGGGGGGGCGAATGGTTAACGCGTACCTTTGCATCATAAGGTCTGTTATTGAGTCAAGTTTCCCCGCTTGTGCGCGACAAGGAGATAGGATCACCTGTCAAACGTTCTCCCTTCGCTAAAGACCCCTATGCTAAGCTGAATTATTAAAATAAAATTGAACCATCTGTTAGTCCCGAAATGACATAGTTTGTGTCGAGTGGACGTTAAACCCGATTTCTTCGTCTCTGTCTCTCTCTCTCTCTCAATATGTCTGACTTTAGGTTACAAGGTGTTTGCTGAAGATATCAAGGCTATGATTGGTAAAAAGCCGTCGATATATTTTATTGTCACGTGGGTTGGTGTTGCTCCTGCTGTTATCGTGGTAAATATTAGTGTTTCTCTTGTAAAGGTGTTTAGCCTAATGCTATATATATACAACACAGTCTTTCTCTCTCGTTCGCTGAAACACTTCCCCAGTATCAAGGGCTTTTGTGTATTTCTACTAAAAGGTCCCAGCTGTCTAGTCCCTCCATGGGCGTCACACGGGGGGGGGGGGGGGGGTAGACAGCATGGCCACATGGTGTTTGTTTATATTTTTTAGGGGTTTTAAAAAATGGGTTAGGGTTAGGGGTTAGGGTTGCGGAACCCCCCCCCCCCCCCCCAATATATATTTCACGGCTACGCTTCTGAGTCCTTCGGATGAGACGAAAAACCGAGGTCCCGTGTATACATTGGAATGCACGTAAAAGATCCCTTGGCAGTTGGAATTGGATATAAGAGTAAGCGATAGTGCCTCTGCCCGGGCAAAATGTCCCTCATAGCACACTGTATGGCGTATGCCCGTCTTCATTAGCCCAGTATAGGAGCAGAACAGTAGGACGTTACACCCCATTTCATTTCATTTACTAAAAGGTTCCACAGCTTACATCAATTAGAATCACAAAGTTTAATTGTTCTTAATTATCTACTTAATTCACGTGTTCATAGTAAATTGTATAACGAGTTACATCCGTTATGTAAGAGTTATCTGTCTTATATAAGAGTTATTTCCCCTTTCTTAAATACAGGCTGTGATAGGGTTTAAAGCCTATCAGTACGTGCCCTTGACACACCAAGGTCAACCTCAATGGGCAGAATCTCTGGGCTGGTTAATATGTCTGGGGACAATCTCTATTGTACCGTTATGGTTTGCCTACTACGTCATGAAGAGTGGACTAATGAAGGTGGGTAGAGATAAAATCTATATTCTTCATGTCAAATCTGTGGGAATGGTTGGGTTGATCGTCGAGTGGTGAAACACTTGGTTTTAGATCATAAGTTTGTCGTCGAGTACAGTGGTGTGTTTTCGATCCTGGGCTTCAAGTATGTGACTAAGAATAGGGTCATTAGAATAACCCATACTAAACTCAGGCTGAATGTTAACAATTAGCCCCGCTTGAGAACAGACACTATAAGTTAGTTGACTGACATTTTAAGTCCTTGGTCGACGATTTTAGTCGAAAACACTCAGTATATTTTGAGAATTTTGCTTTCATTTAATGGAATTCAATAGGTTTATTTAGTCTGTGTGTATGCCTGATGTGAAACGGAGTAGAACCGCTTTACAAAACAATATACTAATTTTTGGATATGGCGGCCATTCGGAAAAGCGATTTATTCTTGAAGTATGAAGTAGATGGATCTCTGTGTGCAGAATGTAGAATAACCACGTGGCCATCCCCCAGGTTCCCCCCCATTTCTCAAGACTAATAATAGAAATGGTGGCAAACTAAGGAATCCCCCGCAAACCCATTAAGTTAAGCACGTCACTCAACTCCTTGAACTTGGGATCTAAAGGACACTTGTTATACTACTTGGCCCCGGACAATAGTAAAAAATTACCAATGAACACGGATGTAATGAAATTGCTTTTGATATTTGATTCCAGAAGAATCTGAATGCTCGTTTGTGTTTGTTTTCAGCCTACGTCAGATTGGTTTGCTAGACGAAGTCTGGGTAATCCTGACTATAGACCGGAAACCCCAGACGATAATGTCAAGACTCCGGTGATTATAAATGAAGAAAATGGAAATCAAAATGCTGAATTCAGACCATATATTTCTGAATTGTAAAGATGTCGTACAAATGAAATATAGGACCATTGATTAATAAACATACATTATGCAAGAGCTAAATCTGTCTATTGCAGGTCTTTCTTCAGGCCTGAAAGGTTTTGTAAATTATTAATTAGGCATTAATTAACTTATCCAGACCATAATCAACTCTTGATGTCAAACTAATCAAAGCCTAATCACAAAATAGTCCTCTAATTATTCAATATGGCGGCGCCCATGAAACATAATTTTACAGAGTCGGTTTTGTTTGCGAAAACAAATTTAGGAGTATCTAACCTTGTTTTGAAAGATAAACAGATTGAAACTCTAAAGACAGTTTACAATAGTAAAGAATTTATTGCAATATTACCCATAGCACATATTATATATCGCTTTTACGGGAGTGTCAGCGACATGGCGTGTTTACATAAAACACACGTGCGTGGTTTATTTTTACTCTGTTGTCTAAACAAATCGGTGTTTAGTCGATAAGTCCCGCCCCAAAATGGTCACGTGGGCGTTTTAAATGGCGGCTAATTGGGACAGTGTCACATTCTGGGAAGTATGACGTAGATGGGTCGCTGCGTGCAGTATGGGGTTCAATCCTGGCACGTGTTACACTATACAGACACCCAGGGGGACCACGACATCTCAGAGATTTAAAAATATAAGGGGTTCACTAGCCAGGGGGTCCCAGGTTCAATCCTGGTGTTGGCAGAGAAAGTAACGCGGAATTGTCTCCAGTGGTAAAGTATGGAGTACCTGGCATAGTACAGCGTCTAATAGCTCGGACTGGTCGAAACATCGAGTTCCCGTGTAGGTAGAAAGCCCCCCCCCCCCGCCATCACCCCACCAGAAGTTATCCCACAGTCCATTTTCTTTTTGTTGAGCCAATGTTTGATTTGATTTTGTCTTTCGCTATCCAGTTAACGACTTTTAGTGAACGACAGCATCGACTGCACTAGCAGCTGGACACGACGTCATCACATGGAGTTAGGAGAGATGGAGTTCAACGCTAACTCGATACAAACAAGGTCATTTCAATTTTATTTCAATATTTCGCTTGCGCGTAGGGGTCTTTAGCAGTGGCCCAGTGGGAGGAACCCGGAGGACCCGGAGAAAACCCACGAGGTTGGACAGGCGACCCTACTCCTTGTCACGTACAAGCGTGGAATCGAAACCACGCCACTTGACTCAAAGACAGACCTTTTGATTCAATACGCCATCGTTAACCATTAGGCCATCCAACCCCCGTATGGAGTTAGGACTTTAGCCAGTGTTTGCGGGTAACGTGGTAACGAGTATTACTGAGTGACTTCTGTGGTAAGGTGATAATATATGTCGTGTATTAGTTGTGTCAATACATGAGTCGACGTTTAACTGTGTAAATATAATAGTAAAATTCTCAGTCCTCACACACACATACAGTAATATACTCACCTTTATAGACCTCATGTTATCTACTACACTATAGTTTTATCTCTATCAACTTAAAGGGACATGTCACCGATGCCACTCAATACATCCCTTCTTTTACCCACCTGGGTTACATTAGGAAATGCTCCATTTAAAACAAAAAATCAAATAAAAAATTAAAAAAAAGATACAGATTTTTATAATAAATTTCAATTTTGTACATATATAGATATATAGGTAAAATTTTCTATTTTAAATATTTATATGCATTAAAGATTGATTTTATTTTATATTGTTTTTATTTATGCATATAATATTTTTCTGTGATATAATTTAACCTGTCTCGAATATATCTCCATAATATTATGTTCGGCGAAATATAGCCCTGCTAATGCTGGCGTGCGATTAAAACAGCATTTCGTTTATTTTAAAGACACATGTCAACAAGAATTCGTGGGTTCTATCCCGATGTACCGCACGATTTTGGGGCCTGTTTTCCTCACAATACTAGATCTTTTTGCGATCTGGAAAATATCTTTCTCTAGGGTTAGGGTTAGGGTTAGGTTTACAAATTACATGTCAAACGTACAATTTAAAGCTGTAAAAACGGTGGATTGTGGGTAAAACTATTCTGAAGGGTTAGGGTTAGAATTGTGGGTATAAACACGGAAAGATATTTTCCAGGTCGTACAAAGATCTAGTATCGTGCCTGTTTTCCATTTTGCAAGGAAAATGCGTCTATTCGGTTCGAATGGGTTCAAAAACAGACATCCTTCCGAGACAGTAGGAATTCGATAAAGATTAGGCAGAGGACGCGGCCGGGGCAAAATTTCCCTCATAGCCCACTACATGGCTTATTCCCATCTTCATTATCCCGGTTGGTTCAGACACATATATTCGGACATCACGGGCAGAAATTTTAACCCAGAAAGTAAGAGGTGACATATCGCATTATTATGTAGGAATGGTTAATCGAGGAAGTCATCACTGAACACAGTTCGATGGTGGTAAAAAACAGCGTCTACTCTTCTGGGATGGAGACGAAACCAAAGAGATCTCGCGTACATGTTGACAACTGGAATTAATTGATGTCTGGCCAACATTTTACTAATATCACACTACATGGCCTATGTTAGGGTGACCCACCATAAATAAATATCTCCAAATATCTCGACAATTACGCCACAATATTTATATATATGCCAAGCCTCAAATCAGTTTCACACAATTATAGTCACTAAATAAACGATCATGTTGTACTTAATAAGCTATGACCATTAATCATCTATAAATAATAGACTGAAAACTGGTTCCAAGTTGCGTCCATAACATCCAGACACTTTTGAGTAAAAGATAGGTTACGTGCCCTTGTTTTGAAATTAGTCTCGCTTAACCAGTCTATCGACCATTCTACGTCTGATTGACAGGTCGGGATAATCAAGACTACTTTTTTACGAAACAACAGAAAGCTAGAACAAGAAATTGAATTTAGAAATAAGCACTTTAGACAACTCAACAATTGTTTTAAGAAACTTGTAAAAGTAAAATGAAACTACTGCTAGTATCATGTTCCTGCTAAAGAAAGTGATTCAGAGATAGTATTTGTACTAAACCAAAAGATGCCGCTCTTAACGGTACAGTTAATGATAAAGCAATTTAAAAAATAAAACAAACGTAATTACTAAAGCTGCTGTAATAACCAAGAAGCTAAATTTTACTGCTATTCAAAATCGTCAACAATAGATTTTTTACGGCTGTAATAGTTGATATATTTGTAGAGAATTGCACGTGCCATGGCTATTTATCGACTCAAAGCGAGTGCGCGGTAGTCAGAAATCAGTTCGAGACACGCAACTGAAGCGTGCACATTTAGCCGTGTCGAGACCAACTTTCTGTAAAGTGCACGGGTCATCCTACCTATGTCTGTCTTCATTATAAATTTGATATATTGGCGTTTCTCGCTATAATATCATATCAGATATCTGAAGGCTTAATCCTCGCTAATATGTACTCAGATTGATTATTTAACATTTAATCAAGCAAACAAAATCAAATTACCAACGCTAGATAATGTCCCTGGATGGATTTAATCGGATTAAAAATAGGCCTCTCATTTAAATGGTCGTGGACAACAAAATGGCGGCGGACTTATTGTATCAAGGGTCGATGAAATTTCAGTTCCACATATATTTGTAAATACTAAAGAGAAATTCATCTTTCATAATATTGTGTTTTGTAAGTGATTCCTATAGCGCTATAGTTGTTTACATTAGGGAGCCACGTTGGAAGGTACTGGCTCGCTCACCAGGACGTCCGGGGTTCAACCCCGATGTTGGTCTAGAAAGTATCTCTGGGTTTTCAGGTGTGACCCCCCCCCCCTTGTCAGTGGCGTTGGACGTATTGTCTCGAGCACCGTCTAGTCGTTAGAATTGGACGAAAAATCGAGATCCCGTCTGCACGTGGGTTATCCAGTAAGAGAATTCTCGATAGTTGGAATTCTAGCGCCCTTGTCCGGCAAAATTGCCATCATAACTCACTGCATGGTGAATGTCCGTCTTCTGTAATACCGTCCGTACAGAAAATCGGGACTTTAAACCCCATTTCATTCAATATTGTACAAATTAAATTTTACATTTGACCTTAAACTTCGACATGTTTTCTCTTTAAATTTTTACCTTTACCTGCCTGTTCCTGGTCTACTGTATCTTATGTAAATATACACAGGTCAAAGGTCAAACATGCGCAGTAATAACGTCCACTAATTCACAATAATATTGAGTGATAAATTGAATCAGACAATCTCAATCATGGCGGAGGAGGTAAGTCCTATTCATGTAATTTCGTCATTTTATTCTAGCTTAGTGTATTTGATTGATTAATTTTCTTAAATGGTTGAGATGCCTGGAATTTTTGTCTGCATATTTTCGCTAGCCTTTAAAGTTTATAAAACTAAACACACACAAAAAAAAATTAAAAAAATGAAATCAGAATTCATTAGTTAAATTCATTCGTTGATCAAATCCTTGAAGAAATATTTACTTGATTTTTTTTAAATTTTACAAATTATTTAACGATACATTTTTAAAACAAAAAAAAATGTTGACAATCAAAGATAGCCTTGACATGCGACTATGCCCTTCTTTCCAATTATTTTGTGTCTCTACTCTACCTTTGTTGTTGACGCAATAACGGTATTAGCACACTAGGCAGAAAATGTACTTAGCCTGTGTCGAAAATGCTAAGTCATTTTCGTGTCGATTTACACTAACTACACTGAAGTTGTTTTTTTCTGTCTGTTTTTTTTTTAAAAAAAAAAGATAAATACATTCGGGTTTCCCAGACCCACATCCCGAAAATGTTTTTATATTTTTGTATTTTGTGCCTTTGTTAAAGCTGCATTCTACTTTAAAATTGAAATTGGATACCTTTCGGGGTTGTTGATGCACCAACCTTAACCCTGTTTCCTACCACCATTAAACCCTGTTTATTACCCCACTGACGTGTTTGTGTTGCTGGGATATATAGACCAAAAACAAAAACAAACAAACAAAAAACCAAAAAAAAAACCACATCCGCTATTAAAATTGATTTTTTTCAGGCACGTATCAAAGTAAATTCAACCCTGATATTATCTGTTATCTATCTACATAGTTTCGTAGTTCTAATAATTATCAGTTTTAACGAGGGCCATGAATGAAGTATGGACAATTTCATCATAAACATTCTGATAGGCCTATAGTTGATAATAATGTGCCCAATGACGGATATTGTTGTTGACAAAATGACTTCAATATAATTTCGGCAATTCATTGGCATAAGTAGGATATAATTTGTATACATGTAGTTACAGAATCTTAGCATGTACTTTCGTTTCGTTTCGTTTCGTTTCTTTAAAAACAAATATGTTATGCTCCGAAATTATAGAAAGCGGCACTGCGACAGAAGGACAGAACATTTCCAATATTTATTTAGATGTTACAACTCTTAAACAAATAACCACTGTAAAGTATTCTTTAGACAATTAAATCCAGACTCGCGGGTTATATACTATCTTGGCCTCGATGGTTGTGGATAGCAATGAGTGTGCGTTCAAAGGTCGACGAATGATCACGGAGATGGCTGGTGTTTAGTTGGCCATAACTAACGTTAGGAAATAATGGATGAATATGCTTTTTGGTAAGACTGTATTTAGACCAGAGGGGGTTGGGTGACCGAATGGTTAACGTGTGCACGTTGGGTCAGAAGGTCTGTCATTGAGTCAAATAGCGTGGTTTCGATTCCCAGGGGGGGGGGGGGTGGATGGCTGAATGGTTAGCACGTGCGTGCTGTATCATAAAGTCTGTCATTGAGTCAACTGGCGTGGTTTCGAATCCCCGCCAGAGTTGCTTGTCCAATCTCGTGGATTTCTCCAGGTCCCCCGGTTCCCTCCCACTGCTAAAGACCCCCTACGCACAAGCGAATTAATGAAATAAAATCGAACAATATGTTAGTCCTGAAATGACCTAGTTTGAGCCGAGTTGACTTTAAATCCCATTTCTCTCTCTCTCTGTTTGGACCAGGAACTGGGTCGCAGGCGCTACACATTTTCTTGTTATTTTTCTTTGGCGCAACACTCTTCGACAAAGACTATTCGGCCACGTCAAGTGAAGTGCGACCGACACAAACCTTGGCATGGTTGTTCCTTTAACAATTCTGCATTGAGTGACGGCTTTCTATTTTTTTACATTACGTCACAATTCCAAAATGGATGTTTTGTCGTCACACTCGGTTTCTTGGTTCATAGAGCGCTCGCACATTTTCCGTTTTGTCTAGAATATTGTACATTCATTTAGATCCTTGTAAATTTGTCTAACAATGTTGTTCCGGCATCTTGTCATCTCCGTTATCATTCATCTTTTATTGATGGCAAGAATTGGGGACGTTTGTGTAAAATTTTTTCACCGCAAAACTTCCATGACATAAATTATCATTAAATATTTTTACCACAAGAGTTTCATAACGCTCCCAAACCTTGCCATGTTTATAGCATCATTTCATTTAAAACCTTGAATTTTAACTCGTCAACAATATTTACATCGGTCATTGACGTGAGAAACATGCAATTTGACCTTTAAGCCGGACATGATCTTTAAAGGGATGACACTGTTCAATTATGGATTCCATAGCAACAGAATGGGGTTAATGCCTTTGCTCTACTTTACAGGGGTTATATTGAGACCAACATACGGTAACGTAGCCCTGACAGTGGGGTTTTACGTCAGCTAACAATATGGATTATACTGGACTTCGCTTGAACGCGCCACTCGAACGAAAGAACAATAATAGTTAATCGTACATTTATTAAACGTACATTATGCAAGAGCTAAATCTGTCTTTTCAAGGTCTTTCTTTAGGCCAGAAATGTTATCTAAATTTAATCTAAATTAAATTATTAATTTGACTTTAATTAACCTATCCAGACCATAATCAACTCTAGATGGCATCGCTAGCCTGCAATCTTTAGTGGATTATGAGCCGATTTACTGCATAACTTTCCTTCATGAATAAACGATTAAATGAATAATCGAGACTATGTTGTTTATCGTACTGACTTTAGTAATGATGATCGAGGCTAGGCGGAAATTTCAGTCGCTAAAATCTCGGTTCATAGTAATTCAATTTGAATGAAATTTTCAGCAAATTGCCTTTACATTATCTAGTTTTTAACAATTATAGTGAGAACTGCCAACTCGTTATCGAATCTCCCATAATGTATCTTTAAGAATACGTGTAAATTCTTTTAAAACTGCTACATGACCAGAAGTACCGGTATAAGAGGGATTGGTCGCACCCCAATGCTCTTCCTCTAGCTACTCCACGTGTTTACAAACCCAACAGCATGTTTACGTGTTCTAGACAAGAGACTGTTCTAGTTTCAAACCATGTTAAAACTATACTATGTGACTCAATAAAGCAACAAATACATGTCTGAATTTTTTTGACTCACATATATAAATAACAGGTCGAATTGTGTATCGAGATAAAAATGACATTGGCCGGTGAAAGTCTACGTTTAAAGAGAACTCTAACCATGGTGAAAAATACCTAAATATGGATTTAAAGGAGCTAACCCGTTAACTCAATATTTTCCATAATATTCGAAATTAAAAACACGAATTAGAATTCAATATTGGTCCAGTTCAGTAAATATTGATATTGTTAATACCTAGTATTAAAGAGACAATGAACATTTTATAATCAGTACACGATTCGTGTATTCTATGATTTCGGGCGCCATTTGTAATAAACAAAGAAAACCATATCCTATAAGACAATGCGGAAGTTACAGATTGAATATAAATCACTGTATATGCATTCATTTCATCTATTTTGACGTTCGAGAAAATAGAACCACGCGCCCTTTAATTAAGGTTAAATAGACGGGTTTATATCCATATTCGGTTGATAAGAAAATATGTGGACATCCATCGATGCATTTGAAAGTTGCGGATATGTGTTTTAGTAAGGAGACTGCAGCAGTCGAACAGATAGGGGCGTGGGCCGATAAGAACCTTTTAGATTTTTCCAACCCGGAGTCACTCGTCAGGGATGGTGCCTGAGGGGCTGTTAACGAAAAGGTGTCGGTGTACACGCTGGCTTTCACGTAAATTAATCATTGACAGTTCGAAATCGATAAAGAGTAAACGGGGACGGCGATTTCCAGGACCGATTCCTCTATGGCACATTGTACCTAGAACAATATCAATGAAAATTATATCAAACATTTATCTTAAAGTGGCGGACATATTGTAGTGGGGGGGAATGGTTAGCGCGTGGGCGTTGTATCATAAGGTCTGTCATTGAGTCAACTGGCGTGGTTTCGATTCCCCGGTTGTACATGACAAGGAGTAGGGTTGCCTGTCCAACCTCGTGGGTTTTCTCTGTGTACTCCGGTTTCCCCCTACGCAAGCGAATTATTGAAATAAAATTGAACCATATGTTAGTCCAGAAAAGACATAGTTTGTGTCGAGAGGACGTTAAACCACATTTCTTTCTCTCATGTTGGGTGACAAGACATTCATCCCTTAGATGGGGGGTTGGATGGCTGAATGGTTAGCGTGCGCGCGCTGTATCATAAAGTCTGTCATTGAGTCGACTGGCGTGGTTTCGAATCCTCGGTTGTACGTGACAAGGAGTAGGGTCGCCTGTCCAACCTCGTGGGTTTTCTCCGGGTCCTCCGGTTTCCTCCCACTGCTAAAAACCCCTACGCGCAAGCGAATTATTGAAATAAAATTAAACCATATGTTAGTCCCTAAATGACCTAGTTTGTGTCGAGTGGACGTTAAACCCCATTTCTCTCTTTATCTCTCATCCCTAAGATGTTAACCCGCTAGCCCGCTCGCAGGTAGCGTGTTCGATTCCTGCATTTGCCGAGAAAGTTCATTGGGATTTTCCGACGCGGTTTTCCCTCGTCAGTGGTGCAGGAGGTGGCCTGACAAAGACAGCCGTCTAGTCGTTCGGATGGCACGGAAAATCGAGGGCCCGTGTACACATTGGCAGTTGGAAATCGAAATAAAGGTATAGTGCCGCTACCCGGGCAAGATTTCCCTGCGTTGCCTATAGCCCAGTCCATGAACACCATTCATTTCATTTTCATTTGATGTCATTCCAGTCGATCACAAGCGCCCTCATGTGTAATGCGCGACTCTAAGTATGTCATTGGTTTTCCCTTTTTGTGCGATAATAAGCAATTAGTTCCGGTAATGAGTAATTGAATAAATAGTTCATTGTACGATCTTATTACCATACTGAGGTGAATATATAAATATATGGCCCAGGT